ACCTCTTTATTCTCTTTTTATGCTGTTTTAACAGAGTCGATCTCCTGTCCCAAAACTAATTACAGGTACAAAGAGACACTGCCAGATGAAAGCACCTATGCTTTGATGGATGATGAGAGGCGAAATAAATGCGATTTGTGCAGTAATGGACGACAGAAGACTTTCTGCAGCATCTCTAAGTTCTGTTCGGGAGTGTCAGTCACTGAACAAGCCTAGAATTTCTAACCAGCGAGGATCCAGGCTATGAACACAAAGGCTCAAAGGTTCAATCACAAACTAGGAGGGGCCCTGGAGAGTTACAGAGATCATCTTCTCGCTCAATGCCCTTGAGCAAGGCCCTTAACCTTAAGGTGCTCCAGGGGGACCATCCCTACTGTCAGTGCACACAAAATCTCTTTAAATAAAGTATATTCTTATAACCTACTGTGGTATCCATTATGTTATAACAATGGAATATTTTCCACATTATTTTTTATTTTAACATAAAATAAGAAAGAGATTAAAAAATAAAGAACAAAGGTGAAAAATATATTAAAAAAAAAAATTCTTAAAGGAATAGTTCACCTCAAAAAATGTAAATTCTGTCATCATTTGCTCACCCTCATGTGATTCCAAACCTGTATGAGTTTCTTTCTTATGTTGAACATAAAAGAAGATATTTTGAAGAATGCTGGTAATCAAACAGTTGATGGTCCCCATTGACTTCCATAGTATTTCTTTCCCTAATATGGAAGTCAATGGGGACCAACAAGTGTTTGGTTCTTCAAAATTCTTCAAAATATCTTCTTTTGTGTTCAACATAAGAAAGAAACATATACAGGTTTGGAATGAGGTGAATTATTCCTTTAAGTAAATTTAACATCAATTAAATTCATGTTTCTTTTAGGAATTGCTATAGTTATATATTAATACATTTAGAACTTATACAAATTTAGACTGAGCGCTTTATTCTTTGATATGTATCTTTAAAGTGAACCTCATAGTCTAGTCAACTGTATTCTCTTTTCCTGACTTTTTTTTTTGTAGAATACTTCCATTTTTCTAACTTAAACTGTATTGTTTTACATAAACACGGTTTTATTACTATAACCATTTCCAAATAAACAAATAACTGAATATATATTTCAATATAATTGAGGCCGCTCAGAAAAATTACTAATGATGAAATGAATTCCACTGAAATTCCACTGAGCTACAGAAATATAGTAAACTGGTAATGTTTATTTTTTTCTCAATTTACTGTAAAACTGTCTTAAATCAAGCTGATCTGTGACGAAAATAGCATAATATTTACAAATATTTAACTGCTTATAAATATTTAACATCCAACAACTGTTGTAGTTTTTTTTTTTTTTTAAGATATTTTTTTTTCCCGAAGAACAATAAATTGAAGAAAAATCAAGCGGGTTAAAGGTAATTAACAGAAATCTTCAGAAAGTTTGAATGTTCTAAAGATTTAATTTGTAAACCTTTTGGTGGAATTGGAATTTATAATGTATAATACTCCCAAAAAACAAACAAACAACAACAAAAAAAAATTTCCACAACAAAATGACATTAAATGTTTTAATTTTGCATCAGTATTCTAAAAGGCAAATAAACAAAATCTAAATAGGTGTTTAGAGTCCTAAAATTTCATCTGATGAGATTTACAGTGTTCTAAAAGAGTTTCCAGCACTTTTTCAACACTGTTTCATTAGTACCGTTTGGTAACCGAAGGGCCAAATACAGTGAATTCTGAGTATAAGACGAAAGAAACCAGGAGTGATTTGTAAACATAACACTCAAAGGAGAGAACTTGCAGAGAGTTGACCACGGTGCGCCTTAATTGTCTCAGGATTCAGCTCCGGTTTGCCTCTTTTTTTCGGAATAGATTAGTCCCTAGGTCAAAGTTTGGCGGGCTCCCCTTCCCCCTCCCCATCATGAAATATTCACCACATTCTGCTGTTGTCAAAGCAACAGACCTGACACTGCAAATCACAAAACAAGGGATTAAAGCAGAGGGGTTAAGTATATAACATGCGGGTTTTAACTGTTTTAACCAATGAGAAACCAAACTGCATCTGCTGGCATGACCTATTTTTAGACTTCCTTTTCCTGCAACATTCTATACAAAACTATTCATATTCCACTTCAGACGAGAGTAACTGATGTCACTGATAGGCTACTATGTATATGTCCCAGATTTAAAGTAGATGCTTCCTGTTTTACTACAGCGCCAAGAGGTTGCATCAGCTACTAATGAATAGTTTTCAGATGCAAAGGCTCACTTCAAGTTAGAAATGAGTCAATTGAGCTTGTTATTCTGTTGTCTCTATAAACGGCACAGTTGGAGGTGAACAGGAAAAGCATTCTGCACTTCTCGATGGAGCCCGTGAACTCTGACCTGCTGGAAGAATATTCACATGCATCCTCCCCCACTCTTCAAACTAACTCTCAGAGTCAAAGTTGTTCCGCTCTGCACTGTGGTGGAAAACAACAGGTTGCTTCTTTCAGATCGTTTCACATGTTCCATAACTAGGATGCATAAGGATCTGTAGTGCAGAGCAGAATGCGAAGGCTTTCTGGAGCAGAATGCAAACGCCGCAAGAAAAGAAATGAGAAGAAGGTGTTCTTTGTGAGGGCAAAGTGTGTCTGCAATGCAAATACACTCGGGATAAAACACAATAGGTCGCAGACAGACTTAATGTAAATGATTTTAAACATCTTTTAAACATACTCAGGCCCAACTGTAACCCCGCTGTTTGTGCTTCTGTTAAAATATTCCACTCAAGCCACAGTGCTTTATTGTTTTTCACATGTGATAATTTATACTCATCCTTTTCCCTTGTGTCCAGACTCCTGTGTGTGAGGTTTTGTGTGTGCCTGAGAGGAATCGAGGGGTGAAAGAGTTCAGAATTGCCCTTCCCCCACAACCAAAAAATCCATCGACTCTCGCTCATGGACTTCCATCTCAAAAACAAGCCCTTGAAAGGGTGGCAGTCCCTGATACCACAAACCAGGCCTAATTTTACCACACTAAGTGTCGAGCATACTCATAAAATGATTAGAAAGGATGAAAGATGTATACAAATTATTATAGAAAATGTGAGAGAAAAGTTTAAAAACACGCTTTGTTAGGCTGGCAGCTGTGCCGTTCGATAATTGCGCGAATGCGTTGATTAATGATCAAAGCTGTGGGCCAGAGGTGTAGCTGGTGGTTAATGACAGGGTGAGTCTGGGATTAAATATGAGATGGGTAAATGGAGATGAGGGGGTCAGGTTGCATGTCTTTTCAGACCTACTGTTCATACTGGAGCATTGTGAGAGTGCGAGGGGGAGGCACTGGGGCCCAGCGGCAGCCACAAGCGACAGCTGTCACAGCCTCTGGTGAGAGCCGCTAATGACCCCTCTTCACATAGGTGTCCTGCAACAGCTCCAGCCAAACAGCTACTGCAATATCCACTTCTGCATGGCAGGCCTGAAAGTTATGTAACGAAGGACTGAAATTATACAATGGTGATTATGTTTGACTACTGACTTTAGATTGCACTGTTTTTAAAGGGCAAGTGTGGTGAATAAAAAAAGCATTTAAAGCAGCTGCTCGATGAAAAGAACAATTAAATCAGTTAATTAAAGTAAAGGTGTGAGATATATATATATATATATATACTAGTGCTGGGCAAGGATTAATCGTGATTAATCGCATCCAAAATAAAAGTTTTTGTGAACATAATATATGTGTGTGTACTGTGTATATTTATTATGTATATATAAAGACACACACACACACAGTATATATTTAGAAAATATTTGCATGTATTTAAATGTATATATTTATATTCATATAATTTATTTTATATCTAATTATATTTAATATATAAACATAACATATTTTTCTTAAATATATACATGCATGTGTGTGTATTTATATATACATAATAAATATACACAGTACACACACATATATTATGTACACAAAAACCTTTATTTTGGATGCGATAAATCGTGATTAATCGTTGCCCAGCACTAATACACACACACACACAAACTATATATATATATATATATATATATATATATATAATATGTGTGTGTTTAATATAATATTATTATTACATTTTAAATAAAAATAACAATAAAATTAATACCATTAAATGCAACTCCAATATGAAATCTTCAATAGCATGCATTATATTCATATATTCATATATTCATCATGTGTCAATAATGCAGTTTTACATTTTAAGATAAATGTGTCAATGACAAATAATATCTGTGATGATAAACCCAGTTTAAACCACAAGTTATTAGAAACGTGATGTATTTATGTCAGTTTCATAAAAGGGGCATTTTAGAGCATTTTCTACAAAAAGCAAACAAAACATGGAAATGTCAAGTAACTAAATTTTTTTTTGCACCTTGAGTACACAATTGAACATGACTGAATCATCATTTTTACTCAACTTGACCTGCACAAAATGTGCTTCTTTGTTAAAAGGTAAAAAAATAAAATAAATAAATATTATAAAAATAATAATGGTGATGGTCATGATGGTCTAAAGAGGTCACATGACAAGAAAATGGCCTCCAGCATGTTGGTCGAGACACTTTGATTTGCCAATTCATACTCCAAAACAAAACAGGTTCAGAAACAGGCTAATAACAAATAATATTGATTAGGCTTTTAATTAATTAGATTAATACATAAAACATAGCTATTGTGACTTAAATCACTTAATTCAATTTTGTATTTCTTTGTTTATTTACTTAGTAAAATAAAATATTTTTAATAACCTAATAGATTCAGAGAAAAAAAAAAAAAAAGAGCAACTCGTCCTTGACCCATATATAGAATATGTTTATCTCTTCTCAAATCATTTAATTATAATCCTTAACTGGCAATCATCATACATTATCAGGTTATATGCCAGTAGACAGAGATTGTAGCATTCCAAACACTCTCAACACCCGACTTCTGCATCACCCAACTTTATGCTGAACAAACAATAGTCAATGAAAGAGGGAGGAACCATTGCCGCTCCAGGTGTCGCACCAAACACACGGGGCACTTCGCTGTCTATCCGTCTCGATCTGGATCAACGTCGCTCGATGTCATCACATTGTTTCCTCGATCTACATACCTAGGCGATCTGATCGCTTTGATATGCGATTTCAACGCTGAAGTCATTTGGAAACTGCGGATGCCACTCAGTTTGTCATCCTCGCGGAGTGTCACCTTGCGTTTGTGCCGTTGCTCCACAACTTCATTACGTCATTTTTATGTACCGAGGTAAGTTTCGAATCGAATTCTGAGAAAGAATCGATCATAAACAGTAGGGTCGCTTAATCTTTTGTGCTAATAATAGTTCGCTACTTTGAAGGGAGATTGGACGGGGAGATTTCGCTCGGGTTTGCTGTCGTGATGTAAATAGGCATTGTTTCAGCGCTGGTCTAATTGAGATTAGATTAAGATTAGAGATCAATCTATTGGCAACTCACTTTAAACGATAGTCGCACACTCAGTGATTGCTTTCTTTAGTGTAGACAGCAGTAGCCTACATAAAGCCTGTCGTGTCGCACTCACACATAACCTCTGCCATAACCCATTCTGTTTGTCCATGCGCTATTTTTAGGAAGTTCCTTTTCTGAAGATCTTTAACCATCGAGCCATCTGTATAGAGATGGAAATTTTTTTTTTTTATTGATTCCGATTCCTCCCGACCATTGCATAATTCCATTAACGAGTAACTTTTGAGGAAGAAATGTTTGGAAACAAGAATTTCTTGTTGTAGGCTACTGCACTCAGTTTGTTGCTGATGAGATCGAGGAAATCATTTCAGATTTCTACATAACATATAGGGCTAGCCTATAACAAATCAGAAATGGGCCTAGTCAACACATTTCTGGCAAAGGTTGTGTTTACATAGACTTTTAATGAGTTTTCACAGACTTTTAAGAGGTGGAAATCCACTGTGTCTTACATAAAATATAAAAGAAACAAAACTGGGGTAACAATTGATTGTTTAATTTATTTAGCCTAGACCTAGCCTATATAAAATACTATGATCGCCGCAGCAAGTGTTTGTGGTTTTAGTAAAACGAGACAGATTAAAGTGCTTTTGATTCACTAAAAAGAACCGACTCATAAGAGCCATTTGTTTGGAAATCGTAGTACACCGGTTATACGGTATGTTTTTGATTCATTATAAAGAACCGGCTCATAAGAGAATCATTCATTCGGGATTCGGACTAGCCTATGCTGGCTGCTGTTTGTTTCACGCTGTACATTCAGTAGCAATGTTGGTATAAACAACACTTAAAACAATCAGAACAGCTGTGTTCCGAGAATACACGTCCAAGAATCCAATATCGTGAAAATCATTCGGTTCGGTATTGGTTAAATGGCACCTATTCTTAAGAACCGTTTCTCGTTTTCCAACTCTATTTGTGGGAATTCAGAAATGTAAAGCTTTTGAGCTGGCATGCAGAGGTGTCGTGTATGTTTTAACATACCTTTTAGCAAATTTAGGCTATTTGCTTGAATGTGTTCTTAACATTTAGATCTACAATCGACAAATAACGACCAGCAATATTTTATTCACTCTTGTTAACTTAACATTTTATATCGTGTAGCCTACAAATGAATTTTTGTTCTGATCGTAACTATAAACCCAAAACTCATCCAGGCTCAGGGAAACAGCTGTAAATTTAAATAATACACTTGTTGATGCAGTGCAACACATGATCCATCACTAGATGGAAAAAACATGCCATGCAATTAGCATTAAATTAGGTTATCAGCTAGCTTCCATCATATATTGATTTTTTTTTTTTTGACATGATTACTTTAAACATGATCTATGGGGGGGGAGTACAATACACAATAGCGATCAATGGCATTGGAATGGATTGTCTTAAATCTAAACCCAGTGTTACTTTGAGAGCTATTACAGTCTAGGGCGGGGCTTTGGTGCTTTACTTTTTTTGTTTTGTTCAGTGTTTTTTTTTCCTCCCCTCTCCCTGAAAGCTTGTCGGATGCTTGTCAGTTCGCATTTAGCTTACCATTATCAAGGCTCAAAGCCTTTAGAGGACGACGGACTGCGATTTACAGGGAATTTTTGGATAACGGCCCTGTTGAATTGGGATCTTAACTATACGGAGATAAGGAATATGTGAATGAAGCATTTGAAAAGCAGCAGAGGATGTTCGTGCTTCCTAAAGTATGTGCATGACTGATCTTCCACATGAGGACACTTGATTAATAAAAACATATGGTAAGGCATTTTACAGCTAAAACGTAATCAAACTAAGTATTGTGTTTACTAATTATAGTATGTTTTGATTATACAGTATTTGATTCTGTAATAAACTTTAAGTAAACAACTATGTCCATTTACAAGCATCTAAAATTCAGAAACTGGTTATAATCTTAAAGCAACTATTAAAGTGTTTTATTGCTACTAGCTCCTACTGTGTTAAGTTTGCATGCTTATTTACATATAAGGAAGGCTACTTATTTATTGTGCTCATTAGCTTGGATAAAAACTGTTAAACTGGTTTTAGTGCTGTTTGATAATGATAATGAGGAGAATGAAGGGGAGGAGGGTGATATGTGTGTGCATTATCATTATCGCAACTGTCATGGTGCCAAGGAACATCTGCTCATGTGAAGCTGAAAGTTCATGTACCAGTCAAATAAGTTGATTGGAGGTTTTGTGGTAAATGACACAACAGGCATATGCAGGGCTCTCTTGTTGTGTTATTAGGTGAATTTGCTGGCATAAGGGCTGTTGGGGGGCTGCTGCTAGGATGGCGTCAGCACACTAGTTAATACCCCTTTGCTTTGTGATGAGGGGTCTGTTTCTGACTAAAAATGAAGGGGTTACTTTTGTGCTTTCTTTTGGGTGTAGGAGTGTATTCCTTTTTTGGTACTGCAATTGTTATAGTAGTTTCATGTAGATAGAAGTGGAGTATATTTGTGGAGTTGTTTTGTCAGGGGACCTAAAATGGTGTTTAATTTTAAAATTAATTCATTTAATTTTTCACAATGTGCACATGTAGTTTAACTCTAAAGGAACAAACTGCATGTCTTTTCTAAAAAGCTTTGTGTTGATATGTGAAAATAATTAACTTCTCAAAGTCCCAAGTTGCATACTTTACTGTGTTTACTAAGTTATTGGTTGTCAAGAGGCTGCCATGGGTTTAAAAAAAATGACACTGAACACTACAGTTATTCTTGTGTTTTGTGCCGATAGACAAAAACCTTGCAGCAGTGGTGGGAGATATTTGCATGGGCCTTTTGCTAAAGTCACTTCCCTTTTATGTGCAGCTGGTTTCTGTGCTCAGCCTCAATGAAGCAAGTTGTTTGCACGGCTTCGGTTCACGCACTACACACCTTTTGACAGTGCAAATCAAACAAACTCCAGCACGTTCATTCGGGAATGAGGGAGTGGGTGTTGTACTGCTTGTTTGAGTTGTGAAGAGACCTAAGCAACCTATGAAATCCCAGCCGTGACTGTTCTGAGATGTAAGGAAAAGTGATAAGATGTTCTGTGTTTGTTTTGTTCTTCATCTGAAAAGGGTCAGGGGGCTTGGGTTCAACCGTTTAAATGTCGAAAGATGTGGGATTTTCGGATTTCAAGACTTGGTGCAATCCCTTTGAATGAGAATGGAATGAAGAGCCTTTTTAAAAATGTAAAGAAGTTTAAAAGAGTGATGGTCGAATTGGAACCCAAGCTGTTTATTTAAAATACCTGCGTTTGCTCTAAAAAATAAAGGCTTTTTATTGGCATTGATGGTTCCATGAAGAACCTTTAACAAAATGATGTAAAATGATGGACAAATCCCAAATAGAATAACACTGCACAAGTATCTGGTCTTAATTTGACATCCATTTGTCGCCAGACTATTTTCACTTTGTTTGAGGTTTATGGCTTGAACTTGTGTTGACCTTGCGAAGCTGACCCTGTTCGTCCCCTCAGCATTCAACTACTGTATGACTTAACAAGCGTTTTCAGTCCTCTCGCAACCTCTAATAGCTCAAGATCCGCTGGCTGGAGGAAGGGACCATTAACATTATCAGTGGCTTTGAGTACAGGCAGTGGGGAGGCTAAAACAAAAGACACAAGGGTGGCATTGTGAAGGATCAGCAGTAGATTACTGGAATTCTTTTTCCGTGGCCTGAATAAGCTTCTAGTTCCCCCATCTGGACACATGAGAAAAGCTTACATTTGCAACTTTAATATTTTAATGCCATTGTTATACTGAAGCAATTTGAGGCTGCTTAGCCATTAGTGTCATTTGGATTCAAAAGACGTAATAACAGGCGTCGCAAATGTAAGATCCTTTTGGTGAAGTGTGTGCAGTAATGTTTTATGATACGTTCTGTTGATTATTAAAACATTCATAGTAGGGGAAATAGATTTTATGAGTTGACTTTATTGCTACAGTATGCGTAATGTGTATTATAGCATGTCACAAAAAAAACATGTCTCATTGCTGCATCATTACCTCTCATTGCTCATTAAATCAAACATACACGTACAGAAGTAGATGAGAGAGAGAGAGAGGGCTGGAGGATTTGGTCATGCATATATCATCAACTGAAGTGCAGTTTTACCTGTTGTGGATTAATTTGAATAACTGTCTGTTTGATAAACAGTTGACTGTTGTATATTCAGTCTAATAGAATCATAATCAGGAAAATGGCTTCAAGGACATACACACAGAGTTCAATTTGAGATACAAAGTCAATGGCCATTTATCCTCGGGAGCAATACTTCTGAAAGGAAATATCCATAAATTTCCTGAATTCTCTCCATTGTGGTCTTAATCCACCTTTGGTTTGAATTACGGAGAGCGAGTAAAATGAAAATGTGCTGTTGTTCCCTTAAAGGGATAATTTACACAAAAATTAACGTTTGTTACCTTCATGTCATTTAAAATCCATATGTCTTTTTTTCCTGTAGAAAACAGGCAGAATGTCTGAGCTTCTCTTTTCCACAATGAAAGTAAATGGAGACTGAGGTTGTCAAGCTCCCAAAAAGACAAAAAAAGTACTAGAAAAGCATTGTAAAAGTAGACACATGACTTGTGCACTATATTCTAAAACCATATGTTGGCTTTGAGTGATGGAAAAACTGAAATTTAAGTCAATTTTCACTAAAAACAGTTAATGAGAATGATGGTCACCATTCCCTTTCATTGTATGGAAAAGAGGGCAGCTTGGATATTCTTCAATAAATAACTTATTTAAAGTGATAGTCCATTCAAAAATAAAAATTCTGTCAT